CCATTACCGCTGCCATTACCGCTACTATTACCGCTGCCATTACCGCTGCCATTACCGCTGCCATCACCATTGCTATCACCGCTGCCATCACCTCCTTCTGCCGGTGCAGTTTCTTTCTCTGGAGCACCATGATCAAATGCCGCCACTGTTTTATTGGTGATCACATGCAGACCTGTAAGTTTACCTTCCCGACCTGGAACACCTCCCCCCCGCTGCCGAAGTTGAGACTGGATCTTCCTCCCACCTCTGCCCTTTTCTACACGAACAGCCTCACCAGCTGAGTTTAATAGGTCCTGTAGTTTTTTCAGCTCCTCACAGGTGCCCTGGTATTGCCCTTTGAAGTCGACAGATGTTAACAGCCCGTGCACCGCGCTCACGCTTGTCTTGTATTGCTTCACGATTGTGACAGGAGGGAGGCCAATCGTTGCAAGGGCAAGCGAGGCGCCTGCGCTCTCCACAGCAGCAGTAGGAGCAGCAGGAGCATTTGGAGCAGCAGGAGCATTTGGAGCAGCAGGAGCATTTGGAACAGCAGGAGCATTTGGAACAGCAGGAGAGTGTAGAACAGCAGGAGCATTTGGAGCAGCAGGTGCAGCAGGAGAGTTTCGAACAGCAGGAGCATTTGGAGCAGCAGGTGCAGCAGGAGAGTGTCGAACAGCAGGAGCATTTGGAGCAGCAGGTGCAGCAGGAGAGTGTCGAACAGCAGGAGCATTTGGAGCAGCACGTGCAGCAGGAGAGTTTCGAACAGCAGGAGCATTTGGAGCAGCACGTGCAGCAGGAGAGTTTCGAACAGCAGGAGCATTTGGAGCAGCAGGAGAGTTTCGAACAGCAGGAGCATTTGGAGCAGCAGGTGCAGCAGGAGAGTTTCGAACAGCAGGAGCATTTGGAGCAGCAGGTGCAGCAGGAGAGTTTCGAACAGCAGGAGCATTTGGAGCAGCAGGAGCATTTGGAGCAGTAGGAGAATTTGGAGCAGCAGAAGCATTTGGAGCAGCAGAAGCATTTGGAGCAGCAGAAGCATTTGGAGCAGCAGAAGCATTTGGAGCAGCAGGGGCAGCAGGTGCAGCAGGAGCAGAAGCTACGGTAAGTGTAGAGGGCAGTTCAACCACCTCCTTCGGGGTGGAGGGATTGGGAAGAGGAGCAGGTATAGCAGCAGCAGTAGGTAAAACAGCCGCAGCAGGAGGAGGAGCAGCAGCAGGAGGAGGTATGACAGCAGGAGGAGGAGGAGGTGTAGAAACAGTAGCAGCAGGAGCAGCAGCAGCAGCAGCAGCAGCAGGGATAGCAGCATCAGCAGCAGCAATAGCAGCAGCAGCAGCAGCAGCAGGGATAGCAGCAGGGATAGCAGCAGTAGCAGCAGGGATAGCAGCAGCAGCAGCAGCAGCAGCAGCATCACCAGCAGCAGCAGGTGTAGAAACAGCAGAGGGAGGTGGTTTAGCAGTAGGGGTAGCAGCAGCAGAAGAAGGTATAACCGCCGCAGCAGCGGTATTAGCAGCCTCTGCAATCGGAAGAGCAACAGCAGAAGCAGGGATAGCCGAAGCAGCAGCAGCAGCGATAGCAGCAGCAGGGATAGCAGCAGTATAGAAAACCGCCACCAATTCTTTGATATGGCCCGCAAGTGTATTCCCCCGCTCCCTCTCCAACCTGAGCTCTTCCTTTTGTCCTGCCAGTGCCCTCAAATTCTCTCTCTTGAGATCTTCCATATTTTTCTTCAATTCCTTGACCATTTCTTCCAATCTCCTCTTCTCGCCTTCTAGCAACCCCACCCTCTCTCTCTCAGCAGCTTCCGCCTCCAATTTTTTTCTCTTCATCCCCTCAACATCCTCCTCCAGTTTTCTCTTCTCGCCTTCTAGCAACCCCACCCTCTCTCTCTCAGCATCTCTCTCTAACAAATGCTCCCGAGCCCTCTCATTTTCCTCCACTAGACCCCCTATCTGCCTTTGTAACTTCTCCAAATCTGCCCTCAGCTGTCTTTCCTGCACTTCAGCTTTCTCCCTCACAGCTGCTTACTCCAAATCAGCTATCTCCTTCTCCTTCACCAGCTCTAGCCTCACCTCCCGCCCTGTGCACAGCAGCTGTTCTGTTTCCCTGGCAAATTGGCTCCTCTCAGCAGCATTTCTTGCTTGTTCTGCCCGGCACGTGCTCAACTCACGTTCAAGGTCAGCCCTCAGCATGTCCTGCTCCACAACTTGCATCTTTTGAGCAAACTCTGCCTTCTGGAATGCCGCCACTTGTTCCGACAACAGATGAACCTGTTTCTCCGCCACTCCGCACTGCACACGGGCCTGCATGCACAAAATCAGAGGGGAAAGTGCTTTTGAGTCGACTCAGAAAAAGGGATGCGGCCATTTGCTGCAGCAACATAGCAACCTTGGCCTCTGCCACTCCACACAGCACACGGGCCTGCATACATATGGACGCAATGTTGAGAAAAACTACCCATATTAAAAAAGGGAGGAGGAAAGCATATGCACTTTGTATTACCCATATGCATATAATTCAACCTTCTGAATTACATGCTCCCATCTCTCCCCCACGCTTCTCCCCCTCCTCCCCACCCACAACCCCCCACTTCCATGCCCTCACCTGCTCCTCCATTTGATCAAGTTTTGCTCGAAGCTCCTCCTTTTCCCTCTGCAGCACCTTGCCTGGGCACTTTTGCATCTCAATTTTATCCAACGCCTCTTGTAGCTCTTCCCTCAGAGCACGGTTCAGTTGTTCCAATGCCCGTCATTTTGTCCTCCTCACTAAAACTTGCCCGCACCTGCTCCTCCAATGTCCTTACTCGTTCTAAGTTGGGGTTGAAAAGGAAAATATTACACACGGACTAAGTACGGAGAAGATTACATGGATCAGGAAACAACATGCAACCAAAAATGGAAACACAACATTACATCTAATACGTAGATGGTAAACCTCGACCACAACAAGCGGTGTTTTTGACCCACAAGCGGTGCTTCTGACCCCCAAGCGGTGTTTGTGACCCTCAAACGGTGTTTATGCCCTACTGCTCGTTCGAAAGCTGTACTACCCATTCACACACAATGTCACCACTCCTTACAAAATATTTCTGCCCTGATGCCTGTCCTCTTGCAGTACTACCCATTCCCATACACTGTTACCAATTTCCATGAGGCGTTTCTGCCCTACTGTCAGTTCTCATGCACCACTACCTGTTCCATGCCCTGCTGCCTTTTCTCATGCAGAAACCCATTTCTAAACGGTATTACCACTTTCCATAAGGCGTTTCTGCTCTGCTGCCCAATTTCATGCAACAACCTGTTCCCAAGCGACGTTACCACTTCCCATGACACGTTTCTGCCCTGCTGCCCAATCTCATGCAGTAACCCATTCCCAAGTGGTGTTTACCACTTCGCATGAGGTTCTGCTTGTTCTCGTGAAGTACTATCCATTTCCATGCGGTAATCATTAGCTCCTAAAGCACATACACTGCCTCAGAATCACAAACACCGCTTCAGGTTCGCAAGCACCGCATGGGGGTCAAAAACACCGCTTGCCGATCAAGTAACTCCTACCCCGCCACTTTCACCTCTAAGCCACGTCACCACCTTCACGCCTGAAACACCACCTGCCTCACCACCTTCCACCTCTAAGCCACCCCCTTCCTGCTCACCACCTTCACCCCTAAGCCACCCCCTTCTTGCCTCACCACCCCCTTCCACTACCTCACCACCTTCACCTCTAAGCCACCTCCTTCCTGCCTCACCACCTTCCACCTCTAAGCCACCCCCTTCCTGCCTCACCACCTTCCACCTCTAAGCCACCTCTGGTGCTTGCTTCCTGCGGCACCTCTTGTCCCTTACTTCTTCCCTCTACCTCGCAGCCTCTAGCTCGCTTTCCTTACCTCTTCCCTCTTCCCATACTACAGATCCTATCACATACCTCTGCATATGTCCACTTCGAGCTGGAAGCGAATGGCAAAGGGGTTTCTCTCCCCCATCTGCCTCAGCACCTCCACCTCGTTTGACTGCCCTTCCACTGCTGCTGCCGCATCCACCTCTCCCACATGCTGCCCCTCCATCGCAAAACTAGGTTTTCTCGCTTTCGTATCGGAAACCAGTTGCAAGCGACTGGTTGGGTAAAACCAGTCGTTTCGGCTTGCAAACCATTGGCTTTGGCCAATGGTTGGCGCTTAGGATGCTTTGGGGGCGTATCGCTGTCGTGTTGCCCAGCTCGAGTCCGAGAAGTCGCACCTGATTTCGAGGAATGGGTGGTGAGCTGTAGGTTTGGCACAGGTTTGGATTTAGCTCTGAAGATTTTGGTAAATCGGAAAGCTCCACGCCTGCACAGTCTGGTTGGTCAAAATTTTGCCTCTGCTGTCGATGGTTTGAGAGTCCATTATCTTGTATAATGGTTCTGGAAGTGTAATTATCGTGTTAGTTGATGTAGATTTATGTAACTAAAAACATTTAATTTGATATCTGAAAGTAATGCTGTATTTTTGGCATAATTTACTCATGCTAATATTTAGCATTACCATAGCACGTACTTGTTAACACTCAATGCTGACATGAAATGGCGTATGAATTGCGTCGGAATTAGGTGAATTTAATGTTGTGGTGGAATTAGAATCACACACCTGCTACACTTTGTAACGAAATGTTTCATTATTTATGCGAAATGGTACAGTTAAGTGTACCTTCAAACTATATACTCCATAACACAGAAATCGCAAGGGCATTGCCTTTTCGACGCTTGTTGGGAGTATTGTTGAATCTGTATGAGAAATTCACCATACAGATAGGCAACGTTGCACATAAGGTTCATCCTGGCCGTTCAATCCAATCTGTACAGTATCGCCCAGTCAACCTGCGAGGAGACCTTCCACAGATAGATGGCGCGTGGGCCCTCGCAGGGACAGATCGTTCAAGGTTCGGGTCTGTCCAGGTGCACACAGGGTGGATGAATTTCGAGGTTGCAGGCAAATCAATATTAGCCAGCGCGAAACATTCCAGGTAGGTGTAATATCAGAAATTCGCACAACAGAAATGCTGGCGCGTCAGGTGATTGCGCGCCAGATTTATTTTCGCTTGGTAACCAGTCGACGGTGCCTGCTGCGTCAGCCTGGCACAGCCCTGGGAGTCAGGTGGTCCCAGCCGAGCTGCGGCCTGGGCCCAAGGATCAGCCGCGTTATTTCGCAGCAATCGGGGTGGCTGAGCCCAACGAAAGGCCCAGCCCTTGGTTCGTTGTTTCGCCAGCGTGTCCCGTGAACCCTCGCGCAAAACCACTTGTCTAGGTGCTCGCGTGGAGGTTTCTTCGACACGTGGCAAAAAATCGCCGCGATTGTTTTTGAGCCAATAGAAACAAGCCTGCTACCCTGGGTTGACCTGCACCGTTGGAAACCAATCGAAATCCCCTCGATCGCACAGGACTAAAACGTGTATGCGTCATGAAATGAAAGGTGAAGTGCGGTTGTGCGAGGTCAAACGCATCTACACAACTGTTTTAAACATTTTGGTTGGGTGTGTAACACACATGTATTGACACCTCCTCCTTCAGAGGTCCCTTTCAACTATCTCCTCCCCCTCCCCCCAATCAGTTCCGTTCGGGGGGGTAGTCTCTGAGTCAACATAATTTCTCATTTGTTTCTCTCAGATAGTGTTTTTTTTTTTCACCTTCCTTAATTCCAGAAGCTCCAGCGCCTAGCCTACGTCCCTGCCGCCTCAAGCTTCTGTCTGATTCGAATAGGCGCATTGAGGCTATTGATAAAGCACCGCGAGACCCATCTGAGTCCGTGACTGTGACAAATGTAGGTGAATTTATTCTTGTGTAGGCAGGTGCACTTTCATTTCGCTACCACATCAACGTTTTTTTAAATTTCTGTTTGAATGTCACTTACCTTTGTTCCCGCTGAGTCGATCATTCTGACAATGTGTTGTTGGCGGATTTTTGTTTCATTGACGTCAGTCGTTTTGTTCAACAACGAATTTCTATGATGTTTTGCTCATTCCTCCCTTTTTATCTTTCCAAAGTTTGGCAATCTGCAAGCGTGATTCCTTGTGGTTTGCTGATCTCCATTCACGCCTTTAGACTGAAGCTCTTGGTAAGCATTTTAGATCATGCTGCACAACATTGTCTATCGATTTAGCGTATGTGTTCGTTTGAGTCTTGTGTTATGTCCATTTGTGCTGCATTTTTATTGTTTAGGTAGAAGTGGTTGGCTGTTTTAACCTGTGCTGGGTTTTCGTTTTTCTGATCCTGCAGGAAATCACAAGGTTGCTGTTCTACCCTTCGGCCCAGATAGTTGCTGGTTGTAAAGGCTGTAGATATAGTAGCACTGAACAGCTTGGAGTGGGTGTTTTGTGTACTTCAATGTAAAACAACACATTATTGAGCTACAGTTGGATACCTGCAACCTTCCTTTCTGCAACATGTCTCATCAGTTGAGGCCTTTCAAGTGTGGCTACCCTGGATGTATAGCGACGTTCTCTTTTGCACATGAGAAAGCACGTCATGTCAAGGCGGGAAAGCACAAATTCCCACCAGCAGAGGCAGCATCTGAGGGATTGCGAGATGACAGCAGCCAGGGAGGAGCTGTAGGAAGTCTTCAAGCAGCTGCAGACCGCATTCTCTCGAAATCCAGCAAACTCCCACGAGGTCAAACACAACCAGGGCCGAGCCGTTTGGATCCGCAACCGGACGCGGCTGAGTTGGATGAGGATGCGACGGGCTACTTGTTTGCCCCTGAGTGCGATGCAAGTGCAGTTGATATTGATGCTCGGGTGTACCAATTGGTTCGCACAGCAGCTGGTGGTTCTGGGCTATCGCGTGTGGATATAAAGGAACTACTATCCATTCTCATCGAAGTGGTGGCCAGCCCCGGACGTCTAACCATTAGGTCTCTTGCAGAGTTCGATAAGTGTGAGGAGGAGCAACTGGCAGGGGCGAACATTGAACCGTTCGAGCAGGTGGAGTTAACGAAGGAAGGGGATTTGAGGCCTGTGATTCTCTGACGGCGTTCGGCCCTCTCGTGCGTAAAAGGTTTATACGAGAACGTGGCGAATGCACATGGCTTCGTGGTGAGACCTCGGAAGAAGTCTACATACGAAGGAGTTGGTGGCGGGAGGTTTTGCGTCGACTGCCTGTTGGTGCTGATCCACCCACGGCCGTAGCTGCAGTAATCATCTATTAAGATGAAACGACCCTGACGATCGATGGCGCGCTGAAAGGTTGGCCGGTGTACATTTTGCTGGCCAACATCGCTCCTGGGAATCGATGGAAACCCCACGGGCATAGGCTCTGTGCTCTCTTGCCCGAGGATGATGGCTCTCTCTTCACGGACGCGGCTAGGAAGCAACGGCGGCTTGAGGTGTTCCAGGAGGCGCTTGCTCTCATCATGGAAGACCTGAAGAAGGCACAACACTCGTGAGTAGATTTTGTACGCTATCACAATATTTTGTTTGTTCCATGTTGCGTGTTGGGGTGTTGTATCGCCATACACCAGTTGACAGTTCTGTTATCTATCTGTTGCATGCAGGGGCATGGAGTTGACGGACTCGTATGGCATTCTCCGTACGGTATACCCGATCACGTACTCCTACATCGGCGACTATCCAGAGCAGTGCAAGGTTGCAGGGACCAAGTCTGGCATCAAGACTCGTCTCCCATGCCCCAGGTGCACCGTTCCGAGAGAGGAGCTAAGTAACATGGAGTACCCTCTCACTTTTCGGACGGAGGAAGGACAGATGTAGCATGTGATGGAAATGGAGCGTGCACCGACACAAGGGGCACGAAAGGATTTGACCAAGCTTCACAGCACACATTTCGTCAAGGTATGTCTTGTCGTACACCTATATGCAACTCGAACAAAATTGTATAGCTTCGACTCGTTCAACTAAGCTAACGCGTATCGTGTTTGTTTGGTTGTTCGTGTGTGTGTGTGTGAATGCGTGTGTGTGTGTGTGTATGTGTGTGGGGGGGGAGTGTGGAAGTATGTGTGTGTGTGTATGGATGCGAGTGTGTATGTGTGTGGGTGTGTGGGTGTGTATGGATGCGCGTGTGTGTGTGTGTGTGGGTGTGTGTGCGTGTGTATGTGTGTGTATGGACGTGTGTGTGTACGTGTGTGTGGGGGGGTGTGTGTGCGTATCTGTGTATGTGCGTATGTAGGTGTGTGTGTGTGCGCGCGTGTGTGTGGGGGTGTTTGTGCGTGTGTGTGTGTGTGTGTGGGCGTGTGTGTGTGTGTATGGATGTGTGTGTGTGGGGGGGGGGTGTGCGTGTGTGTGTGTGTGCGTGTGAGTGGGAGCGTGTGTGCGTGTGTGTGTGTGCGCGCGTGCGTGCGTGCGTGCGTGCGTGTGTGTGTGTGTGTGTGTGTGTGCATATGAGTATGTGTACGTGTGTGTGTGCGCACGTGTATGTGGGTGTGTGTGTGTGTGTGTGTGGACGTATGTGCGTGTGTGTGTGTACGTATGAGTGTGTGTGCCCATGTACTTTCAGAGTGCGTTGTAGGGACAACGTTTTGGCGACACTGATTTCGGCAACCCATACCGGCAACTGACATCCGACATCATGCACATGTCCCTCCTCGACGTGTACAAGCACATTTTGGGGGGGGCTGAAGGTGAAGCTGAGTACGGCGACCCTGCGGGAACTTGACGCCGCGCTTGAACGCATCACTCAGTACAGCAGACAGTCGTTCTTCCGTATTCCGGCACACACTGATGGATACTTCAGCGGCCAGGGTACCTTCAAGGCATTCCATCATCAGGCTGTGATGCAGGTTCTGCCAGCGTTGCTGCTGACGACGAAGGTGGACGCGAGGACTATTCGTGCTGTGGAGCTGTACTGTGATTGGCACAGGGAGGCATGGCATCGCACATACCACACAGACGAGTCGCTGGCCAACCTTGACGAGATCGCGCGCACGTGAGTACGAGATGTGTCAATTCGTCCTAGGGCAGAGCTGCATGAAACATGCCCACGCAACAAAACTATTATGTGTTTTGATACAATCATCTCTGTTTGTACCATGTGATGGGTGAATACGCAGGCTTGTTCCCATGCTCATCGACGAGTTTAGCGTGGATGAACAAGCATCGAAATTCAACATCCTGAAGATTCACGCGATGCTACACGTTAGCGACGACATCAGGCGTCGTGGCGTGCTTATTCATTACTGCACGGACGTTTACGAGCACGTGCACGTGGCACTGATGAAGAGGCCATACCGAGCATCCAACAAGAGGAACGCTGAGGCATCGATCACGCGACGTTGCCTTACGTCGGAGCTGGTCGAAAAGATGTCCGCCGCCGATGAGGTAGCAGATGACCAGGCACGGAGTGTCGCCCTTCAGCAGGTACGCAATCAATAATCGACACCTAGGGTTGCCATATCTATGTTGTATTGTAACATGCTCGTGTGGTTGGCCACGTTTTGGATGTTTACATGGCGAGATTTACCACATCCAACCTCTGGCTGTGTTTATACGTGCAGGCCATAGAGACAGGAGTTTCAACGGTCACGGGGACATCAACGAGGTTTAGGGTGGGAAACAAGAGAGACAATACTTACAAAGCATACGCTGCAAGCGTCCCAGGCAACTTTGACCTTTTGGGTGAGTCAATTGGGGCGTATCTGGAGCTGCTGCATTCTGACAAGGATACGGAGGTACACTATCAGGAGATGATAGATGTGCATGGAGGTGTTGCGGTACCACCGGACGACGATTTTATGAGGTATAGTAGGTATCGACAGTATGCACGGGCTACTCCACTGTTTCATAAAAAACCTTGGTTTTCTGATGTGGATGTCGAGGGCGAAGATGACAACAACAAGAAGGTGGTTTGGCACGCGAAGATTTTCCTCCTATTCACATTGAGATGGACAGTGCTTAATGACGACGACGACGATGAGCAGTTTTCGGAGCACCTTGCATTTGGTCGTTACTACGAAGTCGAGAAGCAGTCTGCGACGATGGATATGAAGACACTTAGCTGGTGGCCATCCCACCACGGTTATGGGGTATTTCCCGTTGAGAGTATACTGCGTGTGCGCCACGTTGTCCCCAAAACCGTCGACCCGTCTCATCCCCTCGCAAAGTTCATTTTGAATCATTTCAAGTGGTAGGGTGATTTGTTGAACACTTGTGTATATATGTGCTCTGTATTTTATATTATATGTTACAGTTGTACTTTACCAAAGATTGGGCTTGTGTATACATTCTTATGCTCAAATTGAGGCAATAGTTTAGGTTTAATATGGTAAAATATTTGTCAAAGCACATGTATAATCTCATGGATGCGCTTTTATTCCAAAGGCAACTCTGTACAGAAACAACACAATCGTGAAATGTGCAATAATTTCGGACGACTGTGGAAGCTGGGCTTCACTGCACGCGTGATCTGATTCTGTGGATCCCGTTTACCACTGCGCCGCACTGCACGCGTGACTGTGGAAAGATCACTGTTGAAACTTTTTTTCTGTGTTACTCTTGGCACATTGTTTTTCCGATCCGTTTGCGCCGTGTAGTTCACTTCTGTTCAATGTTTAGGTAAGTATGGTCCGCTACCCACGTATACTTTCGCTTCCAAAGAATGCTGACTTCGGGTTTGGTTTACACCCAGTAGTTCCGCTTTAGTTTCGTGTCATACCCAGTTCTCCGTCACTTCTGCTTTGTCTCGAAACTGTAAATCCAAAATGCAAGGCCCCACAAGTGGCGAACCACGTCGACAAGAAAACAGCTGCTGCTCTTGGACGGTTTCGTGTTCTGTTGCAGCTGTTTTACTGTTTCGGTGTTGCTGTTGCTGTACATCCATGCACAGCACTAGCGCGCCGCGCCAACGTTACATGATTCTGCGGTTGCTGTACCTCCACTAACTGGCTCGACACCAGCAAGGAAACTTCCGAAAATGAGGCATGTCTGGAAGATTACAAAAACCACAGCCAGCGCAACAGGTCCTCGTCGACTGCCAGCCAGTTATAAGCTACTGTCGATGCCAGCGCAACAGATGCAGCGCAGTATGTCAACACACATGAACAGTGCACCCTGTCCTAGCTGTGAAGGGCGCGCCGCGCGTCGTCCACATACAACGCCTCTCACACGCTGCAAGCCACCCACTCCTTTCTTGTCTCGCACGCTACACTCGCACGACCCAACCCAGGTGAGAAGTGCACGGCGCGCGTCCCACCAGTCCTAGTCGTCACACGCGGCAAACCAACCACATCCTTTGGTACCCCGCACACCACTCCCTTCCCTTCTCTCTTCCACCCCCCCATTTCCTTTCCCCGTTGGCAGGGGTAAGCTTATATGCTCTGTAGTTGTTTCTTGTTTCAGAATTTCAAATTCTGAATTTCAAACTTCGACGACTCCTCCTTACCATTTCTACCCTCGCCAAGACTCCCGCGTCGCATGCCGAGCCTCCACTCGCTGCGACCGCTGTCGTAGGTTTGGTGGAGTGTCCAATCATGGTGCGTTCGTCTTCAGTCGTTGTAGCACTCTCATTAGTGGCTCCTTCACCCAAACCTTATCTCCTTTGTATTGTCACGTTTGCTTAGCATATAAATAATGTAGCTGGGCGTCTTGCTGGCTACACGTTTCGTTTTACTGGCTCATCCCTAGATCATCATGGCGCCTGGCAAGTCTAAAAACCTTGTCCCTGATTCTTTGAAAATGCACCAGACTCGAGCAACGCTTCCGCGGAAGAGCAAGGAACGGCATTTGTTCTTTCCGTCCCCCGCTGGAGGTAACTTTCCATTTTCTGTTACACTAGCCCTCGATACAGTTATGTCTATAACTATCTGTGTTTCTACTTTTCCTTTTTTCTTATTCTGTACGTTGCAGGAACCAACACTGAATTAGAGACGGAGGAACTACAGGCTGGTCGTCACCCTACCGGACAGCGTCAGAAGACGGTTCATCGGAGCCTCGAAGATGTCAACGCTGCTGCCGGCGCTGGAACGTCCGAGCCTTCGCCGGCCACTGGTGTCGCTCCGTCCCAGCCCGCCAAGGCTCCGGGC